CTGACTTTTTTTCATTTGTCCCTCAGCCCCTCTGACTCAGCCGGCTCCTCAAGGAACACAGAGCATCTGGGATGACTTTTGCTTCCCTCTGAATTCATAAGGGCCTGCTTTGCAAGCCACCTAAGTCCGCTCTGAAGCCTGCTGGTGCTTTGAAATCCCTGGAGGGAAAATTCACCACCCAAGTGTGTGCAGGTAAACAACACTGCTAGATGTTTGTCCACATCAGGGTGCCAGTGACGCAAAGAACTCTCCGTGGAGGCTGACTCACAGGCAGGTGGGGGTGGGGCTGGGTGATGTCAAATCCCATCAGCCACACAGCAACCAGCTTTCCCCACCTCCCACCCCCCACACCCCTTTGACTGGGGAAGCGACAGGAAAATGCAGAGGGCAGATGGAAGTGTCCAGTGTACAGACTATGTTCTGGAAAGCCTTCCGAGAAGGAAGTGCTGAGGCTGACAGCAGCTTTGGATTAGGATGCAAAATCAAACATCCAAGGAAGCGACTGCATATTCCACTGCATATTCCCATCAATCAGCTGAATGGGATCAAACTGCTGAATTAGCCAAATCAAGGGAGTCTGACCTAAAGAATCTCCCCAGCCGTGCTTGTGTCAGCAGTTCCTGCAATTATTATGGAAACCCAGTGACCCAATTTCCTCGACCTTCTTTTCATTACAGAGAAATGTAATGGGTTAACATTTAAGGCCAATGGAACTAGGCAGCAAACAGATTTCAAAATGCCACAGTAAACCCCCACAGAAATCTGCCTCCATGGAGAAAATCCTAATGGAAAAAGATAGTTCAAAAGCAAATTGGGAGTCACTGCACTTACCGAAAACACTGGGGGCTGCAGAAAGGTCTGGATCCCGGACACCTGGTTTCTTCTCCCGAGCAGGCTAAATGAACGATGCTCCCCGACTTTCAAAGAGGGTGGCGCTGGTTTCTAACACATCACTTTCTATGGTCACACAGCTCCCTCATATCACTCTCCTGACGTCTGAGAAGTCCCACAGTCCTCCCTTAAAATAAGGAAGAGTTTGCTCAGGTCAGGTGATAACTGGACAAATGCCCACGGCTTCCCTGCTCACCTTTCTCCCCCTGGCCCTAGGTACTTGACTATGTATTTGGTGCCAGCTGACCATCCATTTGTCCATTCATCGTGGCCCATATGGCAACACATACCATTTGGGGATGGTTCTCCCTAACCTCAGCCAGAGCTGAGGCCTGAGTCTAACAGGGAAACCGTGAAGTACTAACCTACCACCCTCCCGGACCACAAGCCCAGGTGCACTGTGATGGGGCCTCCTGAACTTTGGGCCAAGCTCTAGACTTACCTCTATCAGCCCTATCACACTCAGAAGTGCCTGGGCCCAGGCAGAGTTCTCTCATTTCCTGAAGCAGCCAGGGGAAAGGGTGATTTGTGGGGAAGTGGGAGAGGGAGCCCCTAGCATGCCCCTCTGGAGTAGGGCCCAGAAATTCATTTATTTTTAAACAAACAGCAGCAAGTCAGTGGTCAAAAGCAGAGGCTTTGGAGACTGACAGGGTTCGGATTACCCACCTGTGTGAGTTGGACCACATACTCCCTGGCTGAGAGGCCTCAGTCTAATCTGACACAGCTCATTTCCTCTGCTGTAAAAAGCAGAACGGGCATACCTTGCAAGATTATTGTAAAACCTAGAGACAACCTGTAAAGTGTCCGGCACACAGTAGGCGTTCAATAAGTGGTAGTTATAAAGAGATGAAATGGAGGAAGGACACAGTGAGAGAGGACACGGAAGACTGCTGGAAAATTATGCATCTGCTGAACCACCAGACACAAGAGCTGGCTTCAAAGGCCAGGCCCCAGAGATCAAGTTTCCATCTACCCTGGCCCGGCCCCAAGCACTACGGCCACGTGAACATACAGTCAAATAAAAGAGCACATCCATAGGACAACGTCAGAGTTGGCAAGGACCTTAAAGGCCATCAGTGCCCCCTAGTCAGGTCCCTGTATTATAATTAAGGAAACTGAAGCCTGGGGGGCAAAAGTAATCAGTTAATGTTCCATGGCCAAAAGCCACAGTTACAGCTCAGGTCTCCAACTGCCCATTCAGGAGCTCTTCCCAGCCCATTCAGCACTTGTGAGGGTCACGTACCCAGTGTGCAGGGTTTGGCCATGCAGGCAGCCCCACCACACACCATGTGGGCTTTCTGGGAGCACACTCATACTCACAAGGCACGTGCCTTCGCCTTGGGCAGGTATGTGTCCAGAAATGCTCCCTATCACTCACTCAGCAGCTCATCCGTCACCTCAAAACTCTCAACAGTCTCTCTCCTGCCACGCCCCCCAACTCCAGCCCCCAGGGCTCACTGTGCTCTCCCTCTGCTACTTGCCCAGGCTGATTTGGTTCCATGTGGGGGAGTGCCCACATATGGGCCTGGGAAGGACACAGGGCACTGTTTCTCTAGCCCAAAAGAGAGGGCGGGAAAGCGTCCTGCTGTGGGACTGGTAGGATAAATAATTCAAACACTCTATGCACCCATCAAATCTGCTTTTCCAGAAGTACTCAATAAAAGGAAAATTCTGAAGGCATAACAGAAAAAACAGGATACAAAAACTTTACCTGTTTCCTCCCTCTACTATTTTAATAGATAAATATGTGTATGTGAACAGAGCTTGGACGGAAATGCACGTTAAGAGTGGTTATCTCAGCTGGGCACAGTGCTTCACGCCTGTAATCCCAGCACTTCGGAAGGCCGAGGTGAGTGGATCACCTGAGGTCAGGAGTTCAAGACCAGCTTGGACAACATGGTGAAAACTCATCTCTACTAAAAATACAAAAATTAGCCAGGCGAGGTGCCATGCGCCTGCAATCCCTGCTACCCAGGAGGCCAAGGCAGGAGAATCTCTGGAACCTGAGAGGCAGAGGCTGCAGTGAGCCGAGATCGCGTCACGGCACTCCAGCCTGGGCAATAACAGTGAAACTCTGTCTTAAAAAAAAAAAAAATTTCCTGAATTTTCTAGAATAAACATGTATTACTTTTATTTTAAAAAGAGACCAATAAGTTTCTGGTTAAGGTATAGAAGAATGGTGGGTACTCTTTGAATTTTTCTTCCCCTGTTCTAGAATTTTCACAAAGATGAACAAGTAGCCCATTCTACTCAGTCAGTGAAGAGGCAACCAAGAAATGATCTCCCTCACTGATATCTGGTCTTTCCTGAGGACTGATGTGAAATCATTCTTTTTTTTTTTTTGAGACAGAGTTTCACTTTTGTTGCCCAGACTGGAGTGCAATGGCATGATCTTGGCTCACTACAACCTCTACTTCCTGGGTTCAAGTGATTCTCCTATCTCAGCCTACAGAGTAGCTGGAATTACAGGCATGCATCACCATGCCTGGCTATACTTTGCATTTTTAGTAGAGATGAGGTTTCTCCATGTTGGCTAGGCTGATCTCAAACTCCTGACCTCCAGTGATCCGCCCACCTCAGCCTCCCAAAGTGCTGGGATTACAGGCATGAGCAACCATGCCCGGCATGAAATCATTCTCTTCTCCAGACATTAACATGATGGTTATCCCTTCTCCAGGTTTGGAGCCCAGGGAAATGTGTTCCTCTGCAGGCCTCTCAGCCTCACCGCCGCCTTTCCGCAGCTGTGGCAGCTGGGAACAGAACAGCTGGGAATACTTGCAAAAACATTTGCCGTCTTATCAGTCCCCAACTAAACAATGTCCAAAAGTCAAAGGAACAGCTGAAAACCCGCCAGGGATGTTCTCATTAGACACACTGCATGTGACCTACACACACTGCTTTGGTTTCTTTAAAAATTTTCTGTTTGTCAGGAAGTTGCTGATGGAGACTCCATAAAACTTTCCAGCAGAGACATGGGTAGGAGTTGAATGGAGGAAACCTCCTGTGCAAAAACTCAAAAGATAAAGACAATGTAGCCAGCTATGTTCAAATCCTGGTGCATAACACACTGAAGCCACATACTGGACCAGCTACTTAACTCCCTGAACCTGTTTCCACTTCTGTAAAAGTGTGATAATGATAAATTATTTCAGTGTTATTGAAATTCTTAAGATAACTGTGATAACTACTGTACAAGATGGCTTTTTATATGACCAGCTCATAAGCGAGATATGTCATTATTAACATCAATAACAGAGAAACGCCAAAGTGGGCAAGAGGCAAATCCCCTGTGTGGGAGCAGTGAGCAGCCAGGGAGGGGAGACAGGTGTCACACTATGCACCATACCTCCAGGAACCTCAGTAGCCCCTGGCCCTTGCTCCTCCTCCTCACTGCTCTTTCAAATAGGAACAAGTCACTCACTTTCCACACGTGAACATGCTGCACTCAAGACTTGGCACACGGTCACTTCAACACCAAAGGGTATAGAGTTTTCCCCCAAAGCCTGATACAACATCCATGCCAGTTCAAAGCAACACCCCACCCCTCAAGCCCTCACCCCAGCCTCTGCCCTGGAACCCAAGGCCCAATCCGGGCGCCCTGCAGGTTTGATGGGAGATTGGGAACACAGCTCTGAGCTGGGGCCAGTCACCGCCTCCCCACAACCAGATTCAGCAGAGGAGAACCAGAGGTTCACACACCTGAAACAGCTTATCCTGAGCCTTTAATTACCACCAAAGGTCTTGGCTGAAGGCCTTGGAGGCTCAGGTGTCTGCAGAATTGGCTAAAGAGACATCAGGGGCCTCCTTCCTGGAAGCTGGGGTCAGTCCTAATCAAGTTACTCCGTAGGCAGCCTTGGCAACCCAGACTGTCGCTTCTGACTTAAGTTAGCCTGCAATCGTCTCTACGGGATGCTCTTAGGTTCTCCATCAGTCAATAGGGATGCAGTTACTTCACTCAACACCCTTCATACCTTTCAAAGGGAATACTTAAGCCAATAAACAAGCACATTCCATGTAATTAGCCAAGGGGTGAGGTCTGCTCAGAGGGATGGACAGCAGCTCTAGAAGCCAGGACCCTGGGGTCTAAGCCTGGCTCTGCTATATCCTACCTGGGCGACCTTGGGAAAAGTCACTTTAGCTCTGTGGCCTCAGTTTCTTCATCAGTAAAATTCGGGTGGGAACTAGCTTCTGTCACAGGTTCCCTCAGCTCCAAAACCTTCCGACTGTCTCCTCACAGCTGCAAATGCCTGATAAAACAGCCGAACACCACTGCTAACACAAACCGGCTCTAGGCCTGGGCCTGTGGCCCTGCCCCTCACGTGCGAGCAGACCCCCCAGCGCGCCTCCTTCCCGGGGAAAGCAGGCCGAGGGCCGGGTGCTGGAGGCCGGACGGAGTCGGCACAACGGAGGTCTCAGGCGAGAGAGAGAGCAAGAACAAAACGCCCCCGCCTGCTACACGCCTTGAGACCCACGTGCACGGCTCCTTTAAATGCACCGGCCCTTTAACAGCTCGCACCGCGCCCACCCCCAGCTGGGCTCTGCGGCAGGCGGGCGCGGGGAAGCGGGGACGCAGTGAGGCTGGAGGCCTGAGAGCCGCTGCAGCTATCCTTCCACGACCCAGTTCCGGGCCGGCCCAGCCGCCGCCCGCCGGGCACTCTCTTCTCTCCGCCCCCGCGCTGACCGCAGAAGCCAGGAGCGCGGCGCAAGCAGCCCCATAGCTGGGGAAGAGACCGCGGCCGGGGGCGTGCGGAGGGCAGGGCCAGGCCCTAGGGGACAGCCCCATCCCGGGCCCTCAGCGCCGCAGGCGACAGTGTCCCGGCCTGCGCACCCCGGCACCGCCCGCTCACCTGCTCCACCGCCGCGCTCCGGCGGAGTTTACGCCGCTGGCTGAACGCCCGGCCGTCCCAGGCGCCGGCCCAGGCCCCGCCCCGCGCCCGCCCAGGCCCCGCCCCGTGGGCGACGCCACGTTCCCTCGTCCACTGGGGCCCCCCCTGGAGTCCCGGGAGTGCGGGGAGGTTGCCCTTCGCGTCGCGCGGATGACAGGATCAACCCGACGTCGGAACTGGGCAGCGACCTTAGGAGTGGAAGCCGGGCCTGTCATCTTCCCGCGGGCCTGGCAGCAGCGTGGGGCGGTAGGACATATGCTTCGTGGACACTCTTTCTTGTAGTTTTAGGTCCACATCCCCTCCTCCTCCCGGTGGTTCTCACATTAAAGGAGCACTAGTGGCCTGATGTGAACTAACACTAGGAGAATTTTCCTGGTCTGTTTCAGAGCGCGCTTCAGAGCCGCCAGGAGCTCTGGATCAAATCGAACAGGGATGAAATTGATGCTTGAGCTGAGAATTGGCCTAGGGGGTTGTGGTTCCAGGATTTGGGGTCTGTGAGGTGAGTTGAGGTTGTCAATAATTTGATGTTAAGTAGTTTTACTTTTTTTTTTTTTTGACTTAAGGTGAAATTCACATAAAAATTTTTTCCATTTTAAAGCGGGCATTTCGATGGCATTTAGTGAATTCACAATGCTTTGCAACCACCACCTCTGACTAATTCCAAAACATTTTCTTCACTCCAAAAGAAAAACCCCATACCCACTGAGAAGTTTCTTCCCAGGTTTCTTCCCAATACCCTCTTCCCCTAGCCCCTGGCAATCACCAGTCTACTGCTGTCCCTGTATTTACATATTGTAGATGTTTCATGTAATCACAGTGTGTGGACTTTTGTGTCTGGCTTATTTCACTTATAATGTTTTCAAGGTTCATCCTTAGGTAGCATGTAACAGACTTTATTCCTTTTTATGACTGAGTAGTATTCTGTTGTGTGTGCATATGTATGTATATGTGTGTGCCTGTGTATGTTTGTGTATACCACAGTTTACGGACATTTGGGGTGTTTCCACCTTTTGGCTTTGTGAATAATGCTGCTGTGAACATGCATGTACACGTATTTGCTTGAGAACCTGTTTTTATTTTGGGAGGGTAAGTACACGGGTTGAATTCTTGGATCCCATGGTAATTCAATTTTTTTTTTTTTTTTTCAGACAGAGTCTTGCTCTGTCGCCCAGGCTGGAGTGCAGTGGCCACAATCTTGACTCACTGCAACCTCTGCCTCCCAGGTTTGAGCAATTCTGTTGCCTCAGCCTCCCAAGTAGCTGGAGTTATAGGTGTGTGCCACCACATCTGGCTAATTTTTTTATTTTTAGTAGAGATTTCACCATGTTGGCCAAGCTGGTCTTGAACTCCTGACCTCAAGTTTTCTGCCTGCCCTGGCCTCCCAAAGTGCTGGGATTACAGGTGTGAGCCACCATGCCCGGCCTTCAATGTTTAACTATTTGAGGAACCACCAAATGGCTTCCATGATGGCTGAACCATTTTATATTCCTACCAGCAATGTACAGGGTTTCAGTGTCTCTGCATCCTCACCAATGCTTGTTATTTTCCATTTTATTGTTATCCTAGTAGGTATGCAGGGGTACCTCATTCAAGTTTTGGTTTACATTTTCCTAATAACTAATGCTGTTGAGCATTCTCCTTTTCATGTGCCTGTTGGCCATCTGTGTATCTTCTTTGGAGAAATGTCTAAATTCCTGTGAATGGGTAGTACTTTTCTCTTTTTTTTTTTTTGGTATGCCTTCTAATTTTTTATTGTTGTTAAAAACTGGACACTTCAGCCTGGTGCGGTGGCTCATGCCTGTATCCCAGCACTTTGGGAGACAGAGGTGGGTGGATCATGAGGTCAGGAGACCGAGAACAGACTGGCTAACATGGTAAAACCCTGTCTCTACTAAAAATACAAAAATTAGCCAGGCGTGGTGGTGGGTGCCTATGATTCCAGCTATTTGGGAGGCTGAGGCTGGAGAATCGCTTGAACCCAGGAGGTGGAGAGGTTGCAGTGAGTTGAGATCATGCCATTGCACTCCAACCTGGGTGACAAGAGCAAATCTCTGTTTCAAAAAACAAACAAACAAATAAAAAAATGCTTTCAACAGATGCTGCCTGGAGAGATGCTTCAGTCTGAGGGGTTGAAGCAAAGACAAGCCTCTGCGCCAGTCCCCCAGCTAACTGCCAGGTAGGTCAAAATGCACAATCAGAATTACTTAAGAACAAAGTCCGTATTGCTTATCCTGGCACCAGCAAGCTACATGAAGAATGCTTAGTCCTCTCCCTGAATCCTACATGGACAACTGCCCATAAACCGCTGCACTCAGAAATCCCCTCAGACTGTTCTAGGTGAAGTTCTGGGTAATCAGATGGGCCCTGTAACTAAGTTCCGGGTAATCAGATGGAAGGTGAAGAGGAATGTCCTTGTCATTCTGCTTCCTTTCGAGAATATGGAGATGATGGCCAGAGCTCAGGTAGCCATCCTGGGCCATGAAGACCACAAGGATGGTGAGGCCGCAAAATGGAAGGAGCTGGGTCCTCAATTGTGGAGCCACTAGCTTGGCACTGCTTAACTCCTTGCTTGGTTTCATGGAGGAAAAACCACTTTTACCTTGTTTCAGCCATTGTAATTTTGTGATTCACTCACATACAAAACCAAAGCTTAACCAAAGCCTGCTTGACACACACGACCTTTCCAGCCACATTCCTCCTACACTGTATGCCCGGCTATGCTCAGTGCCATGCAGCTCTCTGTGCTTCCGTGTCTTGGCACAGCGTTTACTGCAAGTTATCAGAAGGGTCTTCTTCACTTGGCTCTCTCACTACCCATGAGTGTCTTGTCTCTGTTATTTTTGGAGAAACTTGAGGAAAGCATTATTGTTTTCTTACACATGGGAAAATGGGAAAGAAAGTGGAGGTTTACAAAGACAAAATTGTTTCCCAATCGTGCCTGGTTAATGAGTAGCAGAACCAGGTGTGAAGTCAAGTCCATCTGGCCCAATGCAGTGGCTGGCCCCCTCTGCTCCACTTGGAAGGTCCCATGGCGGTGCGTGGGCTGTGGCCGAGGGATCTTTGATAAATTCATTCCCTTTGTGGTTCTCTTTTGAGGTCATCAGCTGCTTTTCACATGCTGGTTTGTGAGGGATGAGTAAGCGTCTTCCTGGGCCTGGCGTTAGTTCAGAAAGGGATGGCCTCTGCTTTGGGTTTTGGTGTTCAGAGTGTGGCGTTTTCTTTTAACACACTCTAGGGACCCAACACTGCTTGGCAGACAGTGGGAGGGAACAGAACCTGTGTGAATGTTAGAACAAGATGGAACCAGGTTTGGAATTTGTTTCTTGCACTTATTTGTTGCATGACCCAGAACAATTTCTTAGCCTTGCTGAACCTCATTTCCCCACCTGTGAAAGGATAGAATGAGATCTCTCGGAGGTTTATAGAGAGAATTAAAGAGACACCAATTAAAATGACAGGAGTATGTATGGCAGGCACTCAACAAATGTTAATCGTCTTCTTTCTTCTACTTCTCTTTTGAGATAGGAGCTTTGTTTGGTTTTGTTTGACATTGCAATGATACACTATATTATTATTCACAAATTTGGAAGCCTTGCTTAACATGAAAAAAACATAGAAGAGTAGATGAAGCCAAGTGTGGTGAATCATGCCTGTAAGTCCCAGCTACTTGGGAGTCTGAGGTGGGAGGATCACTTGAGCTTAGGAGTTTGAGTCCAGCCTGGGCAACATAGTGAGACCTCTGTCTCTAACAAAAAGAAGAGTTGACAAGTGCTAGCAAAATCTGACATAAGATTGCCATGGAGGGAATCTGGAGTAGTTTTTTTGAGCCATGCAGAACTATATTCCATGTCACAATAGTCTCACCAGTAGGGTTCCAGGGCAGGGTCAGTTTGACATGCATGAAACCCAGCCATAGGATAGGAACTAGAGACACATCCCCAGGGTTTGCCAGTCATGTGTGACACTGGGGACAGAAGAGATGCTTGAAGGACACCTTAAAGCAGCTCTTTCTTTGCTAGAGCTTTTGCCAGTATATCTGGGAGTTGGCCCCACTCATCTGAAAGATTCTGGTCAACTCACCTAATGACACTTACCACCGCATTTTTCCAGCATTTTTTCTGTATGTTGGGATAATTTCATCTTTCTATGGAGGATGTTTGAGTGATTTTGAGACACTCTTAGGATGGGTCTGCTTTTACCATTTCAAAAATTTAAGCCAGCAGTCCTCAACCTTTTTGGCTTCATAACCTCTTTACTCTGTTAAAACTAAGTCAGGGCCGGGCGTGGTGGCTCAAGCCTGTAATCCCAGCACTTTGGGAGGCCGAGGCGGGTGGATCACGAGGTCAAGAGATCGAGACCATCCTGGTCAACACGGTGAAACCCCGTCTCTACTAAAAATACAAAACATTAGCTGGGCATGATGGTGCGTGCCTGTAATCCCAGCTACTCAGGAGGCTGAGGCAGGAGAATTGCCTAAACCCAGGAGGCGGAGGTTGCGGTGAGCCGAGATCGTGCCATTGCACTCCAGCCTGGGTAACAAGAGCGAAACTCTGTCTCAAAAAAAAAAAAAAAAAAAGTCAGGACTCCAAAAGCTTTTCTTTATATGGGTTATGTCTATCAATACTTAACCATATGCCATGGTTTGGATGTGATTTGTCCCTGTGAAAACTCACCTTGAATTGCCATTGTAGTTGTGTTGGGAGGTGGGGCGCATCAGAGGTGATTAGGTAGTTAAGATGGACTTTTT